TGCATGCCTGTAATCCCAGTGCTCTGGGAGGCTGAGGCAAAAGGATTGCAAGTTCTAGCCCAAGTACCACAAAATTAAACCAAAGCAAATTAACAAAGGCTGGGTACATAGTTTAGAAGTAGAACAATGCTTGCCTAGTATGTGGGAGGCCATGGGTTACATCCCTAGTACCGACGAAGGTTTTGGAGCATTTTACATTTTTGGATTAGGGGATGCTTCACTGATAAGACCTATGCAAACATTCCAAAACCCCCAGAACTCTCAAACCTGAAGAACTTGGTCAGGCATTTTGGATGAAGGTTACTGAACCTGTAATCCATCTGCGTGGTCTTTTGTGGGAACTGGCTTGAATGGACCTGATGTCTGATGGCTCTGTGAACTGGAGACCATCCCTTGGCTTCTTAGAGCCTGTGATGCTCTGAAAACACCCAGAGATTCTGTTCTCAGCAGGCCCCAGGCAGGCAGGGCGCCGGTGAGGGGGCACTTGGCACAGGCCTGAGGGGGCATTAGCTACCTGGAATAAGCTGCAGGTGGACATGCATGGTCCCACCCACTTACAGGGTGATGTAGCAACACAGTCAAAGCCACAGAAACAGAAAGCACAGTGGTGGTGGGGAATTATGGGATGGGCTTAGAGGTTCAGATTTGCAAGATGGAGGCCAGGGATATAGCTCAGTGGCACAAGTGCCTGCCTGGCAAGCGCAAGGTCCTGAGTTTGATTCCCGGTACCAAAAAAAAGATTTGCAAGATGGAAACTGCTAGAGATGTGATTCACAATGGTGTGAATTCCCCAACACCACTCAACTCTCCACTCGCTGTAAAAAAGCTGAAGGTGCTCCATCTTGTTAGGTTTGGTTTTTTTTTTAACCAAAATTAAAAAATGAAACTTTTCTTTTTGTACCCGAAATTGAATTCACAACCTCACGCTTGCCAGGCAGGTGCTGTGCTGCTGAGGTATATCCCTGGTAAAACTTTTTAAAAAAATAAAACCTCTGCCCCTGCCCACTAGGAATCAATTGGGCCTGAGCTAAAAACAAGCCTCTCTCTGATGAAAATCAGCTGCTCACCCTGCCCAGCATTTGCTCGGGCAGAGGGTGCACGGGTTTTGAGAGAGCCATGGGCCACTCACACGTGGGTGTGAGGCTGAAGAGCAGCCCACGGGCCTCAGCAGATGAGACCCAGGTTCTGCAGGGCCCCTGGGCTGCGGAAGGATAGGGAGGTAAGCTAGCGGGTACACAGCTCCTGCAATCACAGGACGTGCCCCAGCCGTCTGGGCATTGGGAAGCAGCTCTGAGGGACTGGGGAGCCCCAGGAGGAAACACCAGCAGCCCCAAAGAGCATGGGGCCGCCTATGATGGTGCCCATTGCCAAACTAAACCATATGGAGGCTGGGGCACGAGAATCCCAGGTAGACAGAACTGACGGCTCTCACCTGTGACCTCAGCCTCACTCCATTTGCAAACCTAAGGGAAACTTGGGTCGTTTCTGATCATGTTTATGTTAGAAATAGAATTTAATCTCCAGCCAATTGTAAGAAGCCAACCTATGGTTATGTGACCAGGGCCTTTCTGATGAAGTCCCTATAAAAAAAGACAATGTTGTCATGGCAAAGCAAATTAATTTTTCTTTTGTTTCTGTATTTGCCTAATACTTGCCTCACCTACCCTTCCTGGTGGGGACGCTTGTGACACCATCTGGGGTGCATCTGTGTGGTCCAAAGTAATCTCCCCATCCCAGGGTGCTCGACCTTACCATCTGTGCAGACTTCTTTACCTTCAAGGCAACATTTCCATGCTCAAGAGCTAGGACCTGACTTCCTTATGGGTGGACCCGAAACCTTTATGGACCGGACATCTTTTTAGGTGACTTTGACGTGCTGTATTTATAGCCATTTTTCCATCTGCAGATGGAATAGGAAAGAAAAGGCAGAACAGAGGAAGGAAATCCAGGCTTCTCTCCCTAGGCTTTAGAAGCTCCAATTTTATAAAACTGCGTTTTGACTTTCAAAGTTCTGAGTTGAGGTGCTTTGGTGATTTTTGTAGGTCTGACTCCCAGAAACAGGTACTGGGATGGAGATTGGCCTGCAGGAGCTTTGCGGGAGAGGGGGGGTGGCTCAAGAACACACCTGGGAAGGGTGGGGGCCCAGGCAGGGAGCTGCAGTGCAGTCACCACAAAGCCTCCAGGCAATCCTGGAAAGAGCTCTGGGGTGGTCCTGAAGCCAAAGCCGCAGCCTGGCCTTTGTCTCCAACATGGCTGTAGCTCTCCAGGAGGGGACATGGGGCGGGGACAGCTCCCTTGCAAAGAAGGCAATTGCAGAAGAGTCTGGACTTGCTCTGAGCAACTAGAAGCGGACCTGGCAGCAGCTGGGGGAATACGTCCCTGCGGGAGGTGATCACAGTGGCCTCAAGTGACCATAGGACTTTGGATGACCTAAGCGTGATCAGCCAACGTTGCTGTGTGGCCAAGGGCCAACCTCCGAACAGCAGTAAGGACCACGGAGCTTGGGTGCTGGTGGATCACAGCCCCGTGGGTTCGCCTATTTGGGGAGGAGCAGGAGGTCCCTGCTCCTTAAGAACTTGGGTAGCACCCACTATGCCCAGGGCGCTTTCTGGGGGCTGAGGCCTCAGTAATAGACAGGAAGTCCGTAGGGAGTCATATCCACCAGGCATAACGAGGAGCTCTGTCCTCCTGGCTGCGCCCAGGCCGCCCAGCGACCCCTGCCCGTCAGCGCCCCCTCCTCCCCCCGTGCGGAGGGGGGAGGTCCTTGGAGCAGCATGTGCTGAGTACCTCCCGCTGCTGAATCTGCCACTTTCAACACAACCAGAGGGGCCTTTAGGGTCTTCCTGGCCAGCCTCTGCCTCCAAGAGCAACTAAAACAGGGTCAGCTGTGCTCATTGCCTGATTCCCACCCCCCCCACCACACAGGTGATTTTTCACTACAAATCCTGAACCTAACAAGCTCGGTTAACCTCCAGTGCCTGGGCTTATAATGTACAGGTGACCTGGCAGTGACAAGAAGCAAAAGGCCTGGAGAAATGCTTACATACGTCACAGTACAGCTCTGTGCATGACAGCCATAAAAAAGGATGCGGAGGTGGCTGCACAAGCCAATAATCCCAGATACTCAGAGGCTGAGGCAGGAGGATTGCAAATCTAAGCCCAGCCTAGGCAATGCAGGGATTTAGTTAGATTTTGTCTCAAAATAAAAAATAAAACTGGCTGGGGATATAGCTCAGTGGCAGAGCACCCATGGGTTTGATCTTCCTCCCAAAAGGATAATGGTCCTTAGAAAAATAAAGCAAGGCTGGGCATGGTGGTGCACACCTGTAATCCAGCACTCAGGAGGCTGAGGCAGGAGGATCATTACAAGTTTGAGACCAGCCTGGGCTACAAAGTGAGCTTAAGGCCAGCCTGAGATGCATAGTGAGACCCTGTCTCAAAAAGAAAAATAAATAAATGAATAAAGCAAGGTAAGGAATACTCTGTAGCACATACTACTATTTATGTTAAATGGAAAAAAAAAAGGAAAGGGTGTATACATACATTTGCTTTGCTGTGCAGGACATTTATTTAGAAAGACACAAACAGGTGATAGCAGCTGCCATCCCCAACAGACGGGAAGGGACAGGGAGACTGTTCACTGTGGGCCTCTTTTCTGAATTTACACATGATACAGTACCTATTCAAGAATAACCATAACTCAGGGGCTGGGGATTTAGCTCAGCGGCACAGCGCCTGCCTGGCAAGCGCAAGGTCATGAGTTCGATCCCCAGTACCAGAAACCGCCCCCTCTACAAAAAAAAAATAACCATAACTTGAATTTAAGGTATAAAATGAACATTGTAAATAAATAAATTAAATTAAATGAACATTGTTTTGAAAGAAGCTGGGTCAGTTCCTTGTGCAGGAGCATGAGTTCCTGTGTCTTCTTTGGATTGACACATAATTATGTATATTTAGGGAGCTAAATGTGACGTCTAGACCCATGCGTGTGTTACTGAAAGCCCGTCAGGTCAGTCACCACGTCCCTCACTTCACCAACTCTTCATTTCCCGTTGGGAGGACATGAAGGGCCTACTTGAGCAATTCTGAACTATGCACGACGTTGTGAGGGTTCCTGCGTCTTTGTCCTGCGGGCTCAGTGGAGATAGATAGACGGCAACTACTAAGCCGGCCTGCCAGGGCGCCCTCCGCATCCACCCCTTCCCTGCATGTGTGCCCCCACCTGGTGTCCCAGCTGTGAGCAACCACACCACCCTGATCACCTGGGCGTAGGACCACACCTGGGACCTGCCGGGCCTGGGGCTTTACAGTGTTAACAAGCGCCCCCGATTTTTTTTTTTTTAAGATGGTCTCTTTCAATGCAGGCCAGGCTAACTTTGAACTCACGATCCTCCTGCCTCAGGCTCCCAAGTGCTGGGATTACAGGCGTGCGCCACCACACCTGACACCCTTGATAATCTTTGCAGCCTTGAAAAGCACAGGTCCAGCACTTTACCAAGCCCCCTCATCAGTTTCCAGGAAACACACACCGTAGCACAGAGGCCCCGAAGCCTGCCCACGCAGCCATCCGGACCTTGCCCTCAAAGGGCCCTGCAGAGATTTGAAAGTTTCCAGTTGGGTCCTCCAGCACCTTGGCCACCCAAGGCCCAGCTTCCCAGAGCCCCTCTGGCTCCCTGAGGAAGACCAGCAACCTAGGCACCAGCCTCCCTCTCCACGGTGTGCGGGGTGTGTGTGTGTGTAGGCGCGAGATGCCGATGAAGCGGTCTTGCCCCCTGGCTCCCCTGCCCTCCCCGCCCCCCCACAGCCACCAGGAAGCCTAGGTGGAGAAGAGCACTTGCACGTGGCATCTGCTAAAACCACCCAGGGCTTAACAAGGGGGCGGGCTGGAGAGGCCTCCACCCCATATGAGGGTGGGCAGGGCGGGCCTGGGGCGAGCTGAAGCTCCTGGGCTGAGTTACGGTGCAGGCCTGAGGGTGGTCGGCTGGGGAGGAGGCGCTATGTCCCACCAGAGTATCGTCCACCTCTGCCTGGACGTCCCTGTCCATGGCGTTTGTGTGCTGGGCACGAGCCTCATCGTGGACATCAGCGGGTGAGACTCAGCTTGGGCCTCTGTGGGGCTGGCTTGGCAGGAGGAGGGCACTGGCACCCGGCTCCGCCATTCCCAGAGTTGTGGCTTCATCTGTGGGGTCTGCCCAGCTTTAGGGGCCCGGCTTGGGTCTCTAGAAGCATCCATGGTCCCGCTGTAGGACTCAGCCTTAAGCCCTGTCTCTGCCTGGTGCACACTGTGTGCCCTAGAAAGGTAAGGGCGTTGCCGCTCTGTCCCGTTTGTGTGTGACAAGCGTGAAGCAGCCCTCCAAGAGGAGCAGGTAAGGGAGCCTTGGGCCCAGCTGCCAGCATCTGCCCCAGGTCACCGTGCAAACCTGCAGCGCCCCCATGCTGTCTCTTTCCCCCCACAGGGGGATTCCTTGTGGCTCTGACAAATGCTCCTCCTACCTTGGAGTTGAGGTCTTAAAAGCAAAATGTAGCTTCAAGAACCTCTGGGGCGTTGGTGGGATATGAGGTCTGGCTGGAGCTCAAAAGAGGGAGGACAGGGCTCTTGGAGGGGTGACAGAAGGCTGAGTTGGGTTGGTTCAGGACCCCAACCCTGCCCTGGCCCGCAGGCTTCTGCCTCAGTTCCCAGGGAAGAGGGGACCGGGGCTGCTCCTGCCCTCCAGGCTCCCCAGGTGGGGGCCCTTTGTGCCCTGATGTCCATCTCCCTGCCGGGTAAACCAGGTGCGCCCCCAAGAACTGTGAGTCCTTCACGATCATCTGCTCCCCGAGGGTCCTGGTTGTCCTGAACAGCAAGGTGACCAGTGGGAAGGACAAAGCCATCGTCTGGCACTCGCTGTCCAAGCCTGTGAGCGCACTGGTGAGGATGGTGCTTCCCAGCTCTAACGTGGACGAGGACAAGGTGAGCCTGGAGAGATGGCGGGGGCGGGGGCACCTGGGCCCCACCACCCTCTCCCCCTGATGCATGGTCTGACCAGAGTCTGCGAACCATGAGCGCTGGGCGTCTGACTTCATTTACCACCTGTGAGGTGAGTGCCGTGTGGCTCCTTTTCCTAATGGAGAAACTGAGGCACCCAGGGAAGGGAGTGCTGTTCCCGAGCCAGTCATTGGCAGTGCGGGTTCAGGCTGCAGGGAGGTTCAGGGGTGCTATGCTGGCTTCCAGTCTGCTGTTGAATCTGGCATAAAGATGGGTTTTGTGGCTGAGGAAAGGAGGGTGTGGAACTCTTACTGAAGTTAAGGGGTGACCGATACTGAATGCATGGTGCATGCTAGATACTGAAAATCACACCTGTCTATGTCCAGGGCCCAGGCAGGCAATTCCCAGACACGAAAGGGTTGTGCTTAGGTAAGGACTGAGCGCCTCGGGGATAGGGTCAGACGCTGTGATGCGTCCCAGCTGGGCCCAGGCCACGGGAAAGCCATTCCCCGCTCAGAGTTCAGCCTCCAGCCCCATCACAGTGGGTGCCGGATTGAGATCCTTGACGTTGGAGGCCAGATGCTGGAGGGACGGGAGGTGGAGCTCACACATAAAGGTGGCCCTGGTTGGTTGCTGGGTCTCTGGTTCGTGAAGGCCTGGTGGTCGGGCCAGGGCTGAAGGGTAGGTCCCTAATGTAGAGGCCCCTGGGAGGAGAGGCTGCTATGAGAGGGGAAACTGAGTCCTGATTCCCCTCCCCACCCTCTAGTGGGCAGCTTGAGCCAGCAGAGACCACCCCACCCCTGCCAGGTCCACTGCCCACCTCTGTTCTTTTGGTGAACAATTTGCATCAAAACTTTTAAAAGTATTCATGCCGGGCATGGTGGCGAACGCCTGTAATCCCAGCACTTAGGAGGCTAAAGCAGGAGGATCGTTGCAAGTTCGAGAGCAGCCTGGACTACAAAGTGAGCTCAAGGACAGCCTGAACTGCATAGCAAGACCCTGTCTCAAATAGACAAAAAAAAAAAAAATTTTTTTTAAATAAAGCAGAAGCTGGGTGTGGAACCAGGTGCATGCCTGCAATCTCAGCATTCTGGGAGGCTGAAGCAGGAGGACTGCAAGTTTGAGCCCAGCCTGGGCAATTTAGCATTGATGTGTCTTTAAATTTTTAAAAAAAAGAACAAGCCTGTCTGTGTGTGACCTACAGCTCTGCTCTTGCCCCCACCCCACGCTGCATGGGCTCTGGGCACTGTCTCCACAGGTGCTGGTGTCCTACTACCGTGCCAACGAGGAGGTCCCCTTGGCCACAGCAGTGCTGTACCTCACTGGCATTGGTGAGTCTTGCTGCCACTTTGGAGAGGAACTCTGAGGGCTCTCCCCAAAACAAGACATCGCCTTGGGGCCCAGAAGGACTCATCTGAGACCCCCACACACACTCGCACATTCTCTCCCCCGTTGTCCAGCCTGCTGACCTTTTTCTGAGGATGGAAGCAGCCAGCCCTCCACATCTTGCTCTCCTCTGCCCACCCAGTGGGACCTGCATTCCACCTCCTTCTGTCCCTAGTTCTTGCTAAAGAGAGAAGCCCTACCCTCCCACCTCCTCTCCTGGGCCAGGCCCAGCAGCCCAGGATCAAGTTACAACGTCCACTATCTTCCAGTGGATTGTTACCTTTCAAATTCGCCCTCCACCCTTCTCCTTGGGAGCCAGCTGTGTCTTCTCAAATTCTCCTTCTTGCCTTGATTCTATTCGAGTCTGACGCCCACACTACCAGTGCTCTTAGTTGGGACTCTATGACTTCCTCACTAAACCGTCACCTGCTCCATCTTCTCTCCCCGCCCTGGCAGTCGTCAGCACACCTGGTGTCCCCCTTGACCACCTTGGACCCTGCAGCCCCACTCCCCTTCTCGGGGCCCGTGGGCCTGCATCTCCCAGCTGCCTGGTGAAGTTGCGGGTCCACGCGGTTCTGCCTGTCACCTACAGCCTCCTCCCAGGGCCATCTCTAGCCGGGCATCGCCCATGAGCTTCACTGGGTGTTGCCCACCCACCGTTGTTTCTGGGTTCTACCTTGGTGACTCCCAAATTAAACAGATTTTACCCCCCAAACATATTTTTCTAGGCATCTCCCTGTCACAGCAGGTGCTGGCTGGTGCTCCATCTCCTGGCTGTCCATGCCGGCAGCCTTGGAGTCGCCTTACTCCCCCTGAACCTGTATCGATCAACCTGTGAATCTCGGGGTCCGTTTGTGTGCAGGTGGAATCCATCAACTCTCCACACCTGGTGCTCTTGCTCTGCTCCAAGCCCCCACCCCCTCTCGCCTGGCTCATTGCCGGCGTCTCCCAGCAGGATCCCCACTACCAACCTTGCCCTCCTACAGGTTCAGATTTCCAGGCATGCCGGCAGGCTGACGGCCCTGGTTCCAGCCTTGGGCATCCGCTGAGGACTGCCTGGCGGTCTAGGTGACTGAGTCTCCGCTGCTTCCTTTACAGAGGTCTCCTTGCAGGCGGATGTCTACCGTGACGGGCAGCATGAGATGCCAGTCAACAAGCAGACTAAGGTGAGGCTGCCTAGGAGAGAGGGCTGGGGTGGGCTGAGATCCAGCCCTGCTTTTCTGCAGAGCTTTGTGGTGTCTAAAGTCAAATTGCCGCCATGCAAGTTGGTATAGCAATTTCTGCTTTGCTCACAAGCTGGCACATCCAGTATGCACAAGGCTAGGATGACCAGCTCCATTCCTAGGCCAGTCATGTGGTCCACTAGGACATGGTTAGCTGCTCCCATCAGGTGGGATGTCTCTCCTATTCCTGCTTCCCCAACCCTAAACAAGGTAGGGGGCTGGCAACCCGTAACCAGTACCTGGCTTGCTTCTCTTTGCTCTTGGGCCGCCTGCTCAGCGCCTTGTTTGTGCTCCTCCGGATTCTCTACCTCAGACTGTCCCAGAGGTGGCCAAGCCCTGGAGAAAGGCTTGGCTCTGCTCCTTTTGGGCAGTGGCATCTGGAAAGCACAGGTTTCATGGCTTCTTCTCAAGCCTAAGTTTCTATCATTGCAGGAAAAGTGGGTCTGGGGCCCTTCTGGCTGGGGGGCCATCCTGCTGGTGAACTGCAGCCCGGCTGATGTGAGCCAGGACACCAAGACGGTGATATCAGAAGGTAGGACCTAGCTGGGCGTGGTGCCGCATGCCTGTAACCCCAGCACTCAGATGGCTGAGGCAGGAGGATCGTTGGGAGTTCCAGACCAGCCTGGGCTACAAAGTGAGCTCAAGGCCAGTCTGAACTGCATAGTGAGACCCTATCTCAAAAAGACAAAAAATAAAAAAGGTAGGACCTCACCTGTCCTCACCTTTTCCTGCTCTGGCTCTGTTGATCCCTCCGCAAATACAGACTCCAGGCCAACATTCCCCTCTGCATTGATCAAATGTTTTTTTTTTTTTTTTTTTTAAACTGAGGACTGAACCCAGAGCCTTAGTACTGAGAAATACCCGCAACTCTTTTGTTTTGTTTTGTTTTGAGACAGGGTCTTGCTATGCAGTTCAGGCTGGCTTTGAACTCATGGTGATCCCCCTGCCTCAGCCTTCTAAGGGCTAGGATTATAGGTGTCAACTGTAAACTGCCCACATTGGGCTCAAACTTGAATCCTCCTGCCTTAGCCTCCCAGAGTTGGGATTCCAGGCTTGTGCCACGCCCACACCCAGCTTGATCAAATTTGTTCTCAGCCAGAGGTAGAACCTTTGCCTGGCATTGCATGATGTTCCAGGTTCCGTCTCCTGCAACGGCAACCACGAAAACTTGTGCCTCGAAGCTGGGCACCTGGGCAGAAAGAGGCCACACTGTCCCACGGGAACAGCACGGGCTGTGGTGTCAGCCGGTGATAACTATCTGGCTGTGAATTTGAGCACACTAACTACCCTGGTCTTGTTTCTCCATCTGTGATGTGGGGAACAAATTGGCCTCACTGGGTGGCTGAGACTGAAGACCTAAAACGGCGTCATGTAGAAGCTTCCTTCTGGCACTCCTGGAACAGGGACAAAAGCAGTCTCGGGTCTGGTCCTGACTTGGGGTGGGGTTCTGGTCTTGGCAGTAGCAATGGACGCTGGGGTCCCACCAAGGGTGGAGGTGAGCTCTTGTTAAACCGAGCATGTCAGGTTCTATTCTACATGTCCTAGGGGGCGGGGGTGATGGGGTAAACGGCATTCTCGCTTGGAAGAGTCGCTGGGGTTGGCAACGCTCCTCTGGCTGTGCAGGGAACAGCACTGGAAGCAGAGGGGCCCCAGTGCTCCACGCAAGCCCCGCCCCCACATTGCTGCTGCTCTCCCCGTCCCTGGAGCCTGAACTTTTGCCTTGCCCTTTGCTCAGATATAAAGGACCTGTCCCAGATGATACTGAGTGTCCAAGGCCCCACCTGTGTCTTAAAGAACTACCAGCTGGTCCTCCACACCTCCGTGGAAGAAGCCGACAAGGCCAGAGTCTACTGGCCACATGGTGAGGCAGCTCTTCTGCAGGGTCCTCGTAGCCGGGAGGTGAGAAATACCCTGTGCAGAGAGGTGATAGCCCCTCCCAATAACTCCTGTTGGAGGAGCTCTCCTTTGTCCTTCACCAATACCCCAGATATGAAACTCCCAGAATTCAGAGGCTGAGAAGCCAGGGTGACTATCACAATGGCCCCTACTCTCCCAGCTACCACACCACACACTGCCCATCTCTGGAGGCCGGCACCACTCCCTGTCCTCAGGTGGAGGCCTGGAGGGCTGCAGATGTAGAAGGTGGGCGTGTCCAAGTCCAGGTAAACGTTCCTGGAGTTTCTTGATGTCCCTTAACTCGTTTAGTCTAATGCCTCAAAATTTCTCAGTTTGAGACTTACTCTTGGCTCCTGGAGGTGTGTCACCACCTTTTAAAGCCATACTTAGCTCAGCCGGGCAGTGAATTGCTGTGGCTCATAGCATATCTGTCCTTGGAGAGGGGCCCGTCTCCTGCCGACACTGGAGCTATTTGTGCTAGGGGGCCTGAGCGCACCATCCTCTCCGGATCTTCTGTGGGCCAGAGCTGGACGTGGAGGTGACCTGGGAAGTCGCCCACATTGAGTGAACTCCAGACCTGTGGGTTTAGGTCTGGTTCAGGACGTGGGAGCTACTCTGGACCCACAAGGTCACCAGCACTGGACAACTTGGAGGCAGGGTGGGCCGGGCTCAGTTCTCCTTGGAGGCCCTGACTCACATCGCCTGCTAAGGGCACAGTGTTTCCTTGTGTGTGTCAGTGTCTCATGGACAGTGCTCAGGGAGGGAACTACAGACAGAAGCAGAGGCAGTGGCAGGGACTCGCTCTCCTTTTTAGCATGGAAATGTTGACCCTGTGCCTTTGTATGTTGGCAGTGTTGAACTTGATTTTTTTTTTTTTTTTTTTTTTTTTTTTTGTGGAGGCTCAGTGAGAAATTTGCCTTTAGTCTCAGAAGAGGCTTTGGACTTGGACTTTTTCAGCAATGCTGGAACCGTTGGAACTTTGCCAACTCGGAGATGGGCTAAATGGATTTGACATAAAGAGGTGCACATGAGTGTTTTGGAGGCCAGAGTTTATATCTAGATGTGACTCCAAAGCCTCATGCGATCATAAGCAGGCCCTTTGGAAGGTGACTGGGTTACAGGGGCTTCTGAGCTGATTTGCTGTGAGGAGGTGGAGCCTGGTTGGAAGAGCTGGGTCGCTGTGGGCGTGACATGGAAGGTTAGATCTCCCTTCCTGGCTCGCCCCTTGACCCTTTGCTTCTTGGCTGCCGCAGGTCAGCAGCTCTCTTCCACCCTGGCCCTTCACCATGCCTTTTTGCCATGGAAACATGACCCAAAATAAACCTCTTGAGGAAAGTAAGACACTCACCTTTGCACATAGTGTTTTGCCTTTTGCCTTTGTTGTAATCTCCCTAGCAGTGCTAGACGTGGTGGCACATGCCTGTGGTTCCAGCACCCAGGAGGCTGAGGCAGGAGGATTCGATCCTCCTGAAGCCCTGCCTGGCATCTAATCCGAGGAGTAAGCTGGCACCCTTAGCTGTCAGATATGGGCACTGCAGCTCAGCTACTCCAGTGGCTGATAGTCCTGTTTTCTTTGACCTAGGAGACTCCTCTAACGCCTTTCAGATTGTGCTGGGGCCTGGCCATAACTCCTACACCTTTTCCCCCCTGGTGAACCTTGGGAAAGAGACCTTCTACGTGGAAGGAATAGAGTTCCCATCTGCCGACTTCTCAGGCCTGATCTCCTTCTCCATCTCCCTGATTGAAGATCCTCCAGCTCTGGTATGTCATCAAGGAGACGAGGAACCCTAAGTGGGGGTCAAGGTGGAGGAAGAAGCGTTTCCCAGAGCTGGGGGGGGGTGCTGGATGGTAGCATTAGGGTTTTCAGAGAAGGGGGTGGGATCTGTGGTGACCTGGGCTGAGGGCCCAGGGGTGCCAGGAGAGGAGGAGAGGAGGTGTGGAGCCAGGTCAGTGCCAGGACCTTCTCTTATGTTGCAGTCGATTCCAGAGGCCCCGGTGTACAAGGACACCGTAGTGTTCCGGGTAGCTCCCTGCATCTTTACCCCCAGCACCCAGATGCCGCTAGAGGTGTACCTGTACAGGTAAGAGGCCCTCAGGCTGCTGGTAGCCACCTTCCCTGGTACCTGCTCTGTGTCTGCAGGGCGGTGGGTGAAGATGGCTAGATGCCACTCCAGGAGTGGAGCCCTCCTATCCAGTGTCCTGCACCCACCCCAGACCACCATCTGACAGGTGCTTGAATACTCCTGAGGCTTGGAGTGGACCAGAGAAAGGAGCAGTCTCCCCAGCCCTAGTTTGGGGTAGGGATCGCACAAAAAGCATAGTTTCAGGCAGCACCGAGTGCTATAAACCAAAGAAAAAGGAGGGGTAAGGATGTTGCAGAGAGAAGGGAGGCTCCTGGCTCTCTGGACCAGGAAGTTGTGGGAGAAGCAAATAGAACCTTCGGGCCCATGCACCAGGGCAAAGCCTCAGAGGCTGCGCTATACTGGACCCCAGTAACAGTGCTGGAAATCTGGTTTGTTTCCTGGCTGCCCGCAGGTGGGACGGTGCTCTGGTTCCTCTGTCTTGTTGTAATGCTTCTCTTAGGCTGACGTCTCAATCCCTGCTGGGCCCAGGGCCCAGGGGGCAGAAAGCTGCTGTCCAGGCCAACCTGCCCACTGCTCAGGGATCCAGAAGTCTCCTGAGCCACTGTACTCACGTGCCAGTGGCTTTGTGGGCAGGCACTGAGGGGGAAGGGTCCTGGAGACACATAGGTGGGGGAGTATCAAGGGGTCTTCGAGTTGCTCTGGCCACATGGAATGTTGGGGTATAAGTGAAAGGCGCGAGGCTCAGGCTGGAGTCGGGGGAGCCTGGCGGGAACTTGGCATCCACTGCAGGGAGAGCTGTTCCGCCGCCGGGTATCAAGGCCACTGGTTGTTTTCCTAGCAGATGCCCCGCATGAGGGCTGTTCTGAAAGGTGGAAGCAGAGATGTTAATGAACGAGCCGGCAGAGGGAGACTGACAGGAGGCGCTCAGCAACTGTAGAAGCCCAGGCGGCAGGATGGGCTCATGCTCACACTGACCCTGCGGTACAAGGGCTCTAGTCTTCTAGGTGCAGCAGGAAGGCTGGACAGGAAGGAGTGGAGGTTTAGAGGGGCCCATCGCCATGGTCCTCTCTCCCGCTATTCTGGGTAACTTGATTTCTAGACAGGAAGAACATAGAACCTGGGTCCAATCGGGGCTGGGGGTTGGCTGGGGAGGGAGCCCAGGATGGAGGTCAAGGGCATAGCTACCAGAAGACAGTGGAGACTCCACCTGGCTGCGGAGGGAGGTGGAGGAGCAATGACAGGAATGACAGCGGTCAAGAGCCGGGGCTCCCGTTGAGGTCAGGCTACTGGCCAGCAGCTGGGAGGGCACAAGAGGAAACCTGGGGGTTGGGACAGGACGCCAGATCAAGGTGCTGGAAGTGGGGTGACCATCAGAAGAGGGGGCTGAGGTAAGATGGAAAATGCCGCTGGGGCTGGGGGTGTAGCTCCGCAGTAGAGCACTGGCCTAGCATGCTGTGCCCCGAGGGGGCAGTGGCCCCTTCACTGTGGGGACAGAGCGGTCCCAGCCGGGGGGACCTAGGAGGCCACCTCAAGCAGGCTGCTCTTCCGTGCAGAGACGTGAAGGTCCAGGGCTTTGTGGACACGGTGGTGGCGCTGAGCGAGAAGACTGACTGCCAGGTGGCGTCTGTGTACGAGGACCCCAGCCGCCAGGGCAGGTGGCTCCAGGTAACACCTCGCTCCCTGCGGCCTGGCCTGGCCTGGCAGGGAGGGGGCCTTGTGCCCCAGTGAAGACTTTGACAGAGGCACGGCTGCCTGTTGGACTTCATCAGAGGCTCCGGTGAAGTGACGCGCCTGACTCTTCGCCACTGAGGGATAAAGCTTAGGGTCCAACCTCTTCTTCCCTTCAGGGCGCATGTGTGCTCCAGACCCTGGAGCGTCTGCTATAGGGTCAAAGCCAGGTTGCAGCTGCAGGGCCTGCCCTGCCCTACCCTGGGACAGCACCAGGTCCAGAACCAGCTCAGCTTCACTTCTGGGGTGCCATTCTGTCCCATGCTCAATCGAGTGCCCTACGCTGGGGGTCCCCTCTGAGGCAGAAGTCAGGAGACGGGTGGCCTGGCTCTGACAAGGCTGGAAACGAAACGATATAGTGAGCTACTGGAACGAGGCCAAGCCAGGCACTAGTGACTGGGAAAATCCTCAGGTGAGCCTTAAGAAATGAGGAGCTGGCGCATGTGATGCAGGCAGGTTAGAAACGGAAAAGGGTGACTGACACTGCGAGCGGAGGTCGGAGCTCCGTGAGAGCCACACCACGGTGCAGGTTACAGAACGGAAACGAAACCAAAGCAAGATGGGATGACATTAAAAGCAACAAATTGGGTGTGAAAGAAAAGTTGAGGTCAGATGTGGCAGGTGCCTGTAATTCCAGCTCCTCTCAAGACTGAGGCGGGAGGGTCCCAAGTTCAAAGCCAGCCTGTGTAACTTGGCAAGACCTTGTCCCCAAAGGGAAAGATTGGGGCCGGGGATATAGCTCAGCGGCACAAGTGCTTTCCTGGCAAGCGCAAGGTCCTGAGTTCGATTCCTGGTACCAAAAAATGTAAAACCAAAGGGAGGATTGATTTGGGTTTTAAAAGCCCCACTGGCCAGGATGTAGGGGACAGATCTGAGCAAGGGGAGACTGGTTGAAAGGCATGGCAGGAGCTGGGGATTTAGCTCAGCGGCACAGCGCCTGCCTGGCAAGCACGACGTCGTGAGTTTGATTCCTGGTACTGGGAAAAAAAAAAAAAAAAAGTCACGGCAGTGGAATAGGAAGAGGTCACGGTGGCCTCCCCAGGGTATCAGAGATGAGGTGACTCAGCTCGTACCTGAGGTAAAGCCACCAAGTCCTGTCAGTTTGGGCAGGGAGGAAAAGAGAATCTGGATGACTCATTTCAAACCTGAAGAATGAAAACAAGTCAGGAAAGGGCACCTGAGCTGGGTTTTGAGGGGTGAGCAGGAGTTGGCAGAAGGAGGGTTTGTTGCCACTGTCTCTCTGGAGGTCGCCCACATCCAGGGAGCTGGGGACCTCTAGGTTGGACATGAGCAGGAGCTATTGGAGTGAGATAACCTCACACTCTATCTTCCTGTCTTTTCCAGGATGAGATGGCCTTCTGCTACACTGAGACTCCTCACAAGATGACGTCTTTTGTCCTCGACACCCCTCGGGCTGCCAAGCTTGATGAGTTCCCCATGAAATATGCACTGGTGTGGAGCTTATTTTAGCTGATCTGAATACAGCCCAACCTCTCAGGCCTGGTGTTTGCCCAGAAATGATGGGGTCCCCAGGGAGTGGTGCAGGTGGCCTATTTGGGGGGGGGCAGCTGATGGCCTAGATTAGGAGTAAGACCAGGACTCGCTGCCACCCCCTCCTTTTTTTTTGGTACCAGGAATCGACTGCCACCCCCTCCTAACACCCCCTGTTCCCCCTGGGTTCCCTTCCAGAGCCCTGGTGTTGGCTACATAATCCAAGACACCAAGGACCACACGGTGGCCAGCCTGGATACCATCGGGAACCTGATGGTGTCCCCACCTGTCAAGGCCCAAGGCAAAGAGTACCCCTTGGGCAGAGTCCTCTTTGGCAGCAGCTTCTACCCCAGGTGAGCCGAGAGGCCCAGAGGTGACCAGATGCCTCAAAACGAAAGAGCAGGCCATGGGGGCCACCCTGACTCTCTTGCACCTCAGCTGGCGTCTGCTCTGGACCGTTTTTTCATTTGAAATATGGGTGTTTGGGTCTTCGGCTCATGTAAGAGACTGAATGTAGAAAAAGCAAATTGTTCATTCTTTTGTTTGTTTGTTTGTCTTTGTGAGACAGGGTCTCGCTATGCAGTTCAGGCTGGCCTTGCGCTCACTTTGTAGCCCAGGCTGGCCTTGAACTTGCAACAATCCTCCTGCCTCAGCCTCCCGAGTGCTGGGATTACAGGCGTGTGCCACCATTTCCAGCTAAACTGTTCATTCTGTGGCAATTCCAGGATTTAAACTGAAGCAGGAATTTAGCCTATGGACCCTGCAAGATGCTATGTGCACAAAGTGTGCGGTTGGATTTCTTAGTGCCTGTTAACCTAGCGCCGGGCGGTCCTGCATCCCAGACTCAATCTATGTGGTACAGGTTGGCTCCATCCTGAGCTGGATCAGAGGAAGGGGTTCTTAGCCCCACGGTGAGTTGGAGCAGCCCGACACTGGGCGAGCAGCCACACCGACTTGGGCTTCCCCCGTCTCCATTCCAGCACTGAGGGCCGGGCCATGAGCAAGAGCCTCCGTGACTTCCTCTACGCGCAGCAGGTTCAGGCGCCCGTGGAGCTCTTCTCAGACTGGCTGATGACCGGCCACGTGGACGAGTTCATGTGTTTTGTCCCGGTGGAAGATAAGGGCGAAGACGCAAAGGTCCGCGGTGGGGGCACTTCTTACTGGCAACCCCCAGACCTTGCCGGAGATGCGTGCTGGCTTCTGATTCTGGGCCTCCATTCTCAGGGCTTCCGGCTGCTCCTGGCCAGTCCCTGCGCCTGCTACAAGCTGTTCCGTGAGAAGCAGGAGGAGGGCCACGGGGATGCGACTCTGTTTGAGGGTGTCAGCACTGACCTGCTGCACTCTAATGGTAAGGGAGCCCTCCAGGAACCCGGGCCCTGGGACCTCATGGTCCTCCTGGGTTCCCCTCCAGAAAACACATAAGTGGACAAGCAGAGGTGGCATGGCTGGTGCTGCGGCCATTCGGACCTAGATAGAGTGCAAGCACACAAAGGGGCTTTTCCCAGAGAGCAGGGCAGGGTGTGAAGACATTCTCTAGCACCTCAATACCCATATTAAGGTCTGAGAACCAGCAGCTTGAGCATCTCTGGAAGCTGGGTGATGTCTATGGTGGGGCCCAGCGGCCTCCTGGCCGTGACAGCACTGCAGAATATAGTATTTGCTGAGCATGGACCACATGACAAAGACTTTGTGTCACCTCAGGGCTGGTGACTGCATCTTTGACAAGCCTGTCCGAAAGGCAACTGGGAATGAAACTAATATATAACCTGGTCAAGATCATAGGCAGAAGGCTGCGCAGGTCCAGTAGGGCACAAAGGTGTCCCCACAGTGAGCGGTGGGCAAGATGCCCTGCTTGCGTGTTCTAGGCTGCCTCCTAGGGACAGTGACGGGGTGTCAAGTCCTGCCTAGGCTCTTGGGCATGGACCCTGGTAAGTCCCTAGGTGTCCAACTCTGGACCTGGGGTGGCCCTGGGGACTAGCAGGCCTGTTGCCATAGTTACCTGCTGGCTGTGCCCGGCTCTAGGCAGTACAGCCCCTGCCCTGACCTGCCTGTCCTTTCTTCCTTCCTACAGGAAGGGAGGCCAAAACAATCAACCAATTTCTTGCTGATGAAAGCTTGAGAAACCAGAACAACTATGTAGAGGTAGGAGACCAGGGTGTGGGGACTGCTCCCAAGGCGGGGTGGCTGCCACCTGCCCTTTCTTTCCTCCGGACCCTCATACAGACAGCATCCAGACTCCTGGGATGGAGGGCGGTGATGGACAGGGCGATTGGGGGGTGGCGTCAGGGGCCGGGGACAGTCTACTCGCTCACCTGGTGTCCTACACTGTCTGGTGTCAGGAGTGCTCATCCTGCTCTTTCCAAGTGGTTGGAAAGGCCCTGAGAGTCTGGACCAGCTCGCAGCTCCCAGCTGAGCACCCGCTGTGGCCCAGGCATCATGGGAGCTGCTTCTCAGAACCTCAGGGGCGTAAAGGAGAACCCAGCCAGCATGTGAGGTCAGGGCGGCTCAGGGCAGAGGCTCTGGCTAAGACGAGGTGACGACCTGGGTCTGTGTCCGGGTGCGCATCAGAGTTTGTGCTCTGCTAATTGTGCCGCTTAAGCGGCCTGGTGTAACTTCCCCAGGGAGAGTGACAGAGCTTGGACCCCCTGGCAGAGGCCTTCCCCCTAAACCCAAGAAGCTCTGCTGTCAGACTCAGAAATAAACCAGGGCCTTCTCGGTGCTTCCTGGATGAAGTGGCTATTGTCATGACAGTCCCAAGACAGCGATCAGGGTCACTGGGTTCTCTGACCTTAGACTGTGCGTTATTGGCTGCAAAAAAGCAGAGTCCCCAGGAGCAACCGTCCAGCCTGTAGAAGCGGAAGCTGAGGCCTGGAGAAGGGGAGTTTCCTGTGCAAGGTTCGAGAGCAGAACTACTTTGCTCAGTAGGTCTCTTGGCTCCTAGCAGTGTTCTGTACCCAGCACGGTGGTGCTCTGACTTCTGCAAACCAGGGAGGCCCTCCCAGCCTGGCAGGGCAGGTACCGGATGGGTGGTGGCTGTCCTGGGTGTGATGGCCACAGGACCCATGGCACTGGCTGGGTTGCTGGCCTTTGGTGGTCTGAGCAGGGTCTCTCCCACCCTGCAGAAGTGCATTCACCTGAACCGTGCCATCCTGAAGGAGAGGCTGGGCCTGCAGGAGGAGGACATCATCGACATCCCCCAGCTCTTCTGCCTGGAGCAGCTGACCAATGTCCCCTCAGACCAGCAGCCCCGCAAACTCTTTGCAAGGCCCTACTTCCCTGACGTGGTGAGGGCCAGGGGGCGTCCGGGGGTGGTGCATGGTGGTGTGTGGTGCATCTTTAGCTAATGTCTCTGGGTCTTGCCAGATAAGTCACCCTGCCCGACACGGCAAAGGCCTGCAGGGCTTAGGGCACAGCGGCTGTGGTGCCTGTGAGACAGACCTCTCCTCTCCCCCTCAGCTAGGCCAGGAGCCCTATCCCAGTGGACGGGTGAGCTGGGTCTAAAGGCCAGGTGCCCATGAGCAGTGACCGCAGGCCAGGGTGCTAGCTGGCTCATCCCCAACCTGCAGAGACGGACCTGAGGGGCCCCTTTACAAATGGGGAAATCATGCAGCCAAGCCAGACGCTGGCAGAGACCTTCCCCTAGGGGCCTCTTGTCCTCTGTCCCCGGAGTCCAGAGCAGGTGGTGCTCAAACATGTAAAGTGACTAAACGGAGGGAGAAGTCAGGAGGGGGCAGGGGTGGGGACAGTGGCCCTGCGACATCAGCCTGTACCAACTGTGACCTGTCACATGGGTGTCTAAAGTGAGTTCCAAGGTGTTTGCATCAGTGCTTTAACCACCTGCTGGCCTCTGTGGTACTGGGGACACATGCCTTGCCCTGCCCTGCCCTCGCCAGTTGCCATGTGGGTGTCTTCTGACAGATCGGCATGGCCAAGCCCGTTGTAGCTCCTGGGGACTGGTCTGTGTGGTGGGGAACAAAGCTGCTTTGTGGAAGAGATGAGAGGTAAACAGAAGTCAGTGGGGAGGACAGGGTTGTAGAAGAAGCAGGAAGTGGCACAGGCAAGATGGAAAAACCAGGACAACAGGAATATAGGAGAAATATAAAAGTCAGCAAGGCCAGATCATGGCCAGGCAGAATTAGTCTTACTACTGTGAAACGTGTCAGGATCACTGGAAGACTAAGTGGAAACCCATCAATGTTACTGAGATTGATTAGTGATGTCTGTGTGGGCACAGGCCTGGAGAGTAATGGCACCATGTGCTTGGTCGTCCTGGGCCAGCCAAATACTCAGGGAGGTAGGGTTTTTAGGTGCACAGCACTCGGCCCAGAAGATAGGTAGGGCCTTTCTCCCACGGATCTGACCCCTGACCCTTGTTCACTGTCTTTGTAACAGCTGCAAATGATCGTGATGGGCAAGGATCTGGGGATCCCCAAGCCCTTTGGGCCACAAATCAAGGGCACCTGTTGCCTGGAAGAAAAGATCTGCCACTTACTGGAGCCCCTGGGCCTCTCGTGCACCTTCATTGATGACTTTGACTGCTACCTGACGGATGTTGGGGATTCTTGCGCCTGTACCAACATCCGCCGGGTGCCCTTTGCCTTCAAGTGGTGGAAGATGTTGCCTTAGCCCCGCTCCAGCACCAATAGCCCATTATCACCATGCAGTAACATGATTCCTGGGCCGATAGTAGGGGTGGCTGGAGAGCTGACGCAATGCTTCCCTTGCCCTGGTCACCCCTGTCCTCCAGATCCAGCGGGGTGGTAAGTGCTACCAGCTCAAACCTCCTGGAACGGGCAGATGGGAAAATGATCTCCAACTATGTTTACTAAAGAGCCAATAAAGCTCAGCTCTTCTGACTGCACTTTGCTGGGCGCCTCCTTGCTTTGGGGAAGGGCTGTGCTCGCCGAGGTGCCCTTGGCTGAACCACCCCTGCTGCCTGGCTCCTGTCAAGGCAGAAACAGGGACTTGGCTGAATCCCAATTGGCTGCTTTTCCTCTTTATTTTCCTTGTAATTAATGGTTGGGTCAAGCATGGTGATGCACCTCTCAAATCCCAGTACATGGGAGGCTGAAGCATGATTACTGAGTTCAAGGCCAGCCTTGGCTACAACTGCAAGACCCTGTCTAAAGAAAACAAAGTGTTTGCACTGAAATTATTGCATACTCCAAGGAACTGAAAATGCTGGATTCTGATGGCTGGAGGAAGAAGGGAGTTTCCCTTGGTAGCAGCTGGAGGATGCCCATGAGGACTGGCATGATGCCCAGTGGGTCCCTGGCCTTGGTGGGCGGTGGCTTCTGGTCTCTCGGGGTGGAGACAGTCTAGAAGGTCTTGGGTGTGGCCTGAGAGGCAGGCAGGACTGGCTCTTAAAGTCAGAAGTGCTCCCTCCAGGACCCACCACCTCCTGTTTTCATCTGCCTGACCAAACGTTATCAAATCTAGGGTCGCAGCAGGCTTACCCACTGTGGCTCCTAGCCTATGCCACCAGCCCCGGTGATGGTCCCGCAGGACCCTGTCCTCCAGGCGAGCCGAGTGAAGGGAGATGATTCACTGATGTCCATGGTGAGAAGCAGAAATGGGGCCAGAGGCAGCCCTGATCCCAGCCCCCAGAGTGGTGGGCAGCCGGCAGGGCCCAGCTGTTCTCCGCTGTCTGCGGGGACCGCAGGAACAGGCCCTGTCCTGGGCTGCTTCTGGCCACACACACCGCTCTCCTGGCACTCCCTGCTCCAAGGTCCTGCAGCGTCAACGGCCGGTGAAGAGCCGGCTAGATGCTCTCGGCTCTAAGGCTGCAGAATGGGATCCGTGTCCACAGGGTCACTGGGAGAACAGGCATGTGTGGCCCCAGGCACCCAACAGCCACCACGCTGACGCCTGTGTCGACAGTGTGACCAGGCCTGGCTCGGCACGGAGCAGCTTGCTCAGTGACCTCAGCCTGCTGGGGAGAACTGTCTGCCTGACAGCCAAGAGCCGGCTCAGGGAGGGGACTTCAGCAGCCAGAACAGCTGCGAGCTGGGTGCTGGGATCTGAAGCCTGAGCTCCAGCTGGATTTGGGGTGTTGGAGGGGTTGAGCTCGTGGACGTGGCCTTGGGTCACAGATGGGTTTGAATCTAAGAGCTGCTCTCTGGCCTTGGCCGTGTGCTGCTATCTCGGCCACTCAAGAACAGCGCTTTGTTAATCTGCATGCGGTGACTCGGGGCTTCCAGTCTACACTACAGAGAACTTTGTTTTACTTGCAGCTGTCCCCTGTGCTAGTCTAGGGCTGACCCAGGACAGGCTTTCCAGTGTTTTGTTTTGCTATATAGCCTCAGCTGCCCTCAAATTTGCAGCGATCCTCCTGCTTCAGCCTCCCGAGTGCTGAAATTACAGGGCTGAGCTGCCCTTCCAGGGCATGTTACACACGTGCAGGACAGGGCTGGTGATGAAGGGTTAAGGGGGGCCCTGTGAGTCGATGTGCATTTCCCAGTGACCTGGAAAAGCCAGATTTTCTTTTTTAGTGGAAAACCCTGGATGCCTCTCCAGGGACATAAGGGGAGCAGGTGAACCTTGGGACCGGAAGGTGGACAGGGAATGTCCACTCTCCCAGGTGATCCTGCAGGTTCCTTCCCTGGGGAACCTGCCCACTCTACTCAGGGCTGCCTGGGGCGAGCAGCTCATTCCCCGTGGTGACAACAAGCAGACCCTCCCCCAGGCTTCTCTGGCCAGCCCAGGTGCTGCCCCCACTGGAGAAGGGCCCTGGGGACCCTGGAAGGCGTAACCCTTCCCCCCTGCAGAACCCTGGGCCCCCCAGCACGACCCCCAAATGCCATCCGCGTCCTCCGCGCCATCTGTCAGAGCTGAGTTTGCACAGCCTGCGTGACACTGCTGATTCCTCTAAACCGGGTGTCGATGAAACCACTGGGCTTCCAGCTCTTGCCAAGGCCACCTCGGCCCTGGCACCCCCGCCTCTCCAGGCCTCTGGGTTGACGCCACAGCCCCTCCCCGCTGTCCCATCTGCCGGACAGTGGTCATGGGGCCCCACGGCGGCACTCCTGTGCTGCCCGCCTGGTGTGCATCCCCACCCCGGCCGCAGTGAGGTCCACTGGACTCAGAGGGCTCTGGCCGCTCCAGATGGTGGTGAACACAGGTTGTTTACGGAGTCTTGGACCTCCTCAGGCGTGGGGGTCCATCGCTGCTGTCACTCACGGAAGCTGAGTGTCTCAGGCCTGCTTACCTCCGCAGCCTCCCTGGTACCCTAGCGCCAGGCTGGCTGGGGCTGTGCTCAACCCATCTCAGGGCTGTACCACAGCCGGCAGTGGAACACAGAAGCGTTTGGGGCCTGATGTCAGTGCAGGGTCAAGATACCAAACCTGCACAGCCCCCAAAGACCCCCAGGCTTCCAGAATGCCCCCAACTTGCCCTCACGCCCCCAGGATTATTACTTTTATTTCTCGCTGACCTCCGAATGGGCACCTGGACCATCCAGCTTCAAGGGACCAGGTAAGGTGGCTCCTGAGGTCCCTCTGGCACTGTCACCCTCTGGGTACACCATCCTTCAGGAAGCCAGCACCCGCCTTCCCTGCCCCACCGGGAGCAGAGGGCACTGGACAGCTGGGCCACGGGCCTGGCAGGGCAGCAGCAGCTCTGCCAGTCAAGGACACCCCAGGCTCTCCACCACACCCCACCTTCAGCAGCCCGTTGACCCCAGCCTGATCCCTTTCCAAGACTCTGGGCCAAAGCAGCTCCAGGGCAGGCAAAGGGGATCTCAGCACCACTGCAGCCCCAAAGGCTGCCCCCTATAATGCGGCCCCAGGCCATGTGTGCTCCCTGTCCTCAGAGAGGGGCGCACTACAGCGGGGTAGCAAGCGGGTGTCGCACGGGTCTTCCCACCAGCCCCCAGCACGGCCATGGCCGTTTCCTCTCTGGGTCTCACTTTCCTCCAGGACAGGAGGTGGGGCCAGGCCCGCAGGACTGCTGGCGGGGCTCCAGGGTCAGGGCTGCACAACCCCTGGCATGTTTCTATGTTCGGGCCAGTGCCAGCTTCCAGGACACTGCCCTCCAGTGGCTACAGCGGCCAAGGACAGAGAACTGGCCTCTTGGCACCCCCTGGTGGCCAGTTGCCACACTGCCCCTAAAGGTATGAATGAAGTAGCAGCTTGGGCTCAGGTGTGCGGCTCCCTTTGAATAGTTTAAAGAAGTGATTGAGAACCGGCTCCTGCAGCTGGACGAGACCAGCGGCAAGCCCACCGGCCACAGCGGACCCCAGGTCCCGCTCAAAGTGAGACACAGTGCCGTGACTGTACTGCCGGAAGCTCGTAGGTCCACAGGGCCCCTGCATGTCCAGCCCAGTGCAAAGCACAGCAGTGTCCACCAGTGACAGACGCACCGACCCCGTCCTCCCTCTCCCAGCCCACAGCAAGGAGCGGAGTTGGGGCTCCCTCACCTCCCAACCCCTGCACGTGGCAAGCCTATTATGTACCCCAGGACCTATGGGGACAGGAGCAAAATGGAGCTGCTACACACACCACACTCTACTGAAAAAGAAACACAAAAGCCCAGACCGAGTAAACAATGATGCCGTTTATTTAAAATGTTTACTCCAAGAAATATATATATAAAAAAAAATAAAGACAATTACAGCACTAAACCAGGCGCCTTCGACCAAATCACAAAGTCCTCTTTCATCCCCATCCACCTCGGCCCCTTCTCGGAGCCCCGCTTCCGGACCTGGAAGGCTGCGGGACACTGCAGGGCGGCCAGGCCCCTCCCTGTTCCGCCCTCTGTGCTCCTGGAGTGCAGGCGCCCCCCTCCCGTTCTAAAGAGTGCTCCTTGCGAGGAAGTTCATGTTACAATTCATGTTACAATTCTACGCCAAAAGGAGGGGTGAGGGAGACAGCTTCCCTGGGTGGGGTCCTGGACAGGGTGGCTGCTGGCTGCATGGAAGATCTGAGCCCAGCGCAGCCCAGGGCAGCTCCCAGGCTATTGTGTCCTACATTGGGTGACCACACAGCTCGAGGGAGACCCCCAGGGTGTGAGATAAAGCCACACAGCCCCTGGGTGGGGGCAGGGACTGCTTAGGCCCCGCCCAGGGGAGCTTGAGTGGGAGGCATCTGGGGGTGATGGACAGATCAGGTAAGTTTAGCGTAAGTTCTGACACTGCAGAAGCTTGAGGGGGGCGCGCCATCCAACATGTGCTGGCAGAGATGAGCGCGGACTGGGGCTAGGTCTTTAGTCCATCCCCATCTCCCGCGAGGCGGTGGGGTCAGCCAGACACAAGCTGCAACCTGCCCCATAGGGACAGAAGTCACTGAGCGGTGATGGGGCGGGGTGACAGGCAGGGGAAAGCAGTGACCACTAGATAATTTTTGGCATTTTAACATGGAGACAACGACAGGTGGTAACAACAGCAAAAGCAAAAACAAAGGCTAAAGACCAGTACTGAACTCTTCCCATCCACCCAAGTCTCACACTGAACCCCTTCTTCTCCCCCAGAAGCACCACTGAGCTAAACGTCTATTTAAAGCACCCAAACCAGTCCAGACCCCTGGAAACCGCGAGCCCCAGCCAACGCTGTCACCTCGCTCGGTTCCAGGAAAGGCACCTCGTAACTCCCGCTGCGCGGTCGGCACGGGGAGGCTTGGGCGGAGGGCACTTGACAGGGCTGTGGCGGGAGGCTGTCACGGCTTCCGCGCGGACACGCAGGCCAGGGGGGCTTCTTCAGGAATCCCAGCTATTCGATACCGGAGCCAAGCACACGCAACCAGAGCTCGGGGTTAGCGGGTAGCAACCCGCAGCGTAAGGGCGGCCGCTCTGGGCAGGAACGGTCAGGCCAGGCGAGACAGGCAGAAGCAGAGGCAGCGGCAGCAGCTGGGACACGGGGGCTGGTCCTTCCTCGCGGGAACTGGAGAGTGTGCTCAGACTGCTCGCTGATCGACCTCTAATGGAGCAGCACTAGGGCCAACAGGGCCCAGGCTTGACAGGGAGTCATAAAGCCGGACCCTTGGACATATACAAATGTTCCTCATCACCCCACCCCCCAGGTCCCCATGGTTCCACCACTGCCTGATTCTCTTTTGGACTTCTTGTACAGCTAAAGGAGATAGAAATGGCTAAACATAAATCCCAAAGCCCCCACCAGGGGGGACACGGCAGATTCTATGAATGGTTCGACCAAAAGGCTGTGGAGCTTCCAGGCAGCCAAGGGGAATAGAGCAAGCAGCAGCTGCAGCCAGTCGGCAGGGGAAAAGCGGCAAGTGGCCCGATGCTCCCCCAGCACGCAAGCGTGATTCTGAATGGAGATCAGCCACCAAGGACGTCTTGGCCTAGATGCTGCTGGTTCCCATAAGGGATATTTTCATCTGAGTAAACAGCCATTCCTCTCCCACGTAGCACCCACTTGGACCACACTGCTAATTACAACTGGAATGGGAGGCTTGGGGAGGCATATTCAGGAGAGGAAAAAAAATACAACTTAAAAAAAAACTTAAATTGCTCAAAGTTTCTGCCTCTTTCGTAGGAATGGTAAGTCAACTATGAGCAAATATTTTAATTAAACATTGGGAAAAAAACACTTTGGAAAGCATAGAGAAAAAGGTAGTTAATGTTGAATTACTTAGAAAACAGAACCTTGGGGAGACTAACAAAAATGCATCTTTGGTCGACTCTTGCTTTTTAAATTCCTCGTCTGACTTCCTGTCCCAGTGCACGTGGAGATGACAGCTGCCGCGGGCGGAGCGCGGCTCCGCTCAGAGGGTGCGCGGGTTGTACTCCGGCAGCCTCTTGATCTTCTCCTTCTCCGTCTCACTCTCGTCCCGGGCAATCACCAGCGAGTGTGAGTAGCCCATGGCCACCTGTGGGGACAGATCAAGGCAGCCGGTCATCGGGCCCGCAGCACACAGGTACCAGGCACAAGGGGACACCGGCCTGCTGCACTGGCGAAGCAGTCAGGAAAACAGGGCTCACGGAAACCAAATGCAAACCCCTCTCCCAAAGACCGCTGGCCTCGCGTGACCGTGTCACCTAGGAAAGATGCCCACTAAGCCCTGCTGGCAGGGACTTGTGGGATACAGGGTGCACCTGGCACTTTGTTGCACCCGCCTCCCCGGATCATGATCCACCCCGACCTAGGCCTGTGAGCCCCAGTTTTGGTGAAGGCACAAGACAGACCCAAGCCACACACTCGCCCAGGGAACAAACGTGCTGTGGCTGGACCCTGCCGTGTGTGCCGGACGGGGGGAAACAGCCACTGAGCCCAGCCCGCACTCCTGGGCGCTGTCCCTCTCCGGCAGCGTGAGGCTGGGACAGCCGGGCACAAGCCACAGCTCAGAAGGGCTGCAGACACCCAGACGCACACACAGGTGCTGGGTCTCCTCTGCACGAGTCCCCCGCAGGGCCCCACGCTCACCTGCTCTGAGAAGATGCCGTCCAGCGTCTTCACCTCCTGGGCTGCAGTGGAAGACTTGGGCTTGTGGTCCCCGTAGCCCTGGTAAGGGAAGCAGAGACTCACAGAAACAGCGACCACCCTGGCAGGGTCCAAAGACGGGGGTGCCACTGAGGCTTCGGGGTGTCCCACTGAGCAGGTACCCCAGCCACCGGCCCAAGGGCCACACGAGCCACCCACACATTCACAGCTGCCACTAGGCGCCTCGGACCCCAACACACCAGTTCCTGACCTGGGCCGTGGGGCAACTCCATGCTCTGTGGGCATCACGTGGGGACAGCAGATGCCACCCTGAGCACAGGGAGGGATGGCAATACAGCTGCCAGGCCTACAAGCCCCACCCCCACGCCCCTGCTTCTAGAAGGCCAAGTCACCACACAGGAGGGCAGCAAGGCCAGCCTGGGCTGCACAGTGAGACTATATCTCAAAAACCACAGCACAACACAAGGCCAGCCTGGGCCACTGAGCAAGAGACCCTGTTTCAAAATACAATTTTAAAACCTGGGCACGCAGCTCAGTGATGGAAGGCAAGTGTACCTGGGGAGAATTTCCGGCACCGCCCCTCCGCACCAAAAAAAGTAGAACAAAATTCAATTTAGATAAAATGAGTGTCCCCAAGTCACCTGCCCGGCCGCCTCGAACGGCACCTTGCTCGACAAAGTGCAAACATGGCTACGGCTGCCTTCGGAGCTAGAAACTAGAGACACAGTGCTCGCCGTGGCCCCGGCCTTCCGGGAAGGAGAGGTGGCCCCACTCCCATCCCTGCAGGACCACAACCTGGACCCCGCTGACAGTCATCAGCGGAGCTGTTCCTGAAACCTAACGTGGCCCAAGACGACGGGATGCCAGAGACGCGTCTCAGTCAGCAGCCCGGGCCCCGGGTGCTCAGGAGAGGGCGCTCACCAGCTCCCCGAAGGTCGGCGACGGGCCCCAGCTGATGGTGCTCTCGTCAGCTGCCACGATGATGCTGCTCTTCCTGTGAAGGGCAGGGGCTGTCACAAGCGCGGCCGCTGCAAGCCCCACGGCAGCTGCGGGGGGTCCCTGCCCTCCGGCCTGCAGAAAGGCCCAAGCGGAGCCCTGGCTTCCTGGGTCCACCCCAGTAAGGGCTGGCAGGTCCCAGTGAACGCAAAGATGCCACTTGGGCCTCAGCTACACCCGACAGCCTTGCACAGCACCAGGAAGCGAAGCCGGGGGCCCTGCTCCCTTCCCTCCCACAGGGCCAGGGGCTCTTGGGGGAGGTCACTTTGGGCAGAGAGGAAGCCACTTCAGGATGAGGGGACAGCCCATTCCCCGGGGGTGGAACTCCATTCGCACTGGAACTGGAGGGCAGGAGGGCAACTGAGACCTTGACAAACCAGAGTCATGAAGACCCTCCACACTGTACCGCACGAACACTACATGGTTCACGTCACCTCCTCCCCAAGCCACGCTGGGTAACCAACCCAGCACGCGACATTAAACGTGAGAACGGCCGATCTGAAGGTGATTTCTTCCCAGCGTGCTGGCAAACTGAAATCCTGCCATTTCCAGCCCGGAGTCAGGAGCCCCTCTGAGCATTTATTCCAAGGAAGCCCCTCAGCAACTTTTCTCCCATGAAGACAGGGAAGGGGCCATCTGCCCCAGAGCCCAGCAGACCACCCTCCTCTTGCACCCCCACCCGGAACTCTGCGTACCCCAAGCCTGGACAGGGACACCCTGCAACCCACAGGAATGGAGCCCTCCCGAGGAAGAGGCACCCATGGGTGTGCGTGGTACTCAGAGGAAGGACACGCAGACACACAGCTCGAGCCTGGTGACACTGCCACCTACCCGCAGGCCAGGCTCCGGATCCTCCAGCCACAGAGGTCCTGCACTGCCTTCGGGTACATGGTAGACTCCCGAGAGGTGTTGGTGGCCCCCCAGAAAAACAGCCCACCTGGAGGAAAATAAAATAATCCCACCGTGGGAATCTCAGGAGGCGAAATCCCACCCTCCACACCGAGGTGAAGACAGAAGGGCCCGTGGCAGCAGTGCCCCTGTGAAACGACATGGGGACATGAAGTGTCAGAGCTTACAGATGGGAAGGGACGACAGCTGCACTGCCCCCCATGGGGCAGTGACCTTCACGGGAAGGACCAACCCCACTCCCAGTCCACAGGCGGGGCAATAAGCACTGACCCACTTCGCTGACGGCAAAGGAGCAGGTGTAGCCGGCGTAGATCTGGGAGGCCCCGCGGCCCGGGAAGTCGAACAGCTTCACCAGGCGAGGTACCATCTCGTCCTTCTGCTCTGCGTGGCCCAAGCGGCCGTAGCCCCCGAAGCCCCAGGAGAAGACGCGCTTCTGCGAGTCCAGGACCAGC